TAATGAATATAATAAATAACGAGTCATCAGCCTCATCAGCCAAGAGTTTTGTCATTGTGTGATGATAACAGACTTGAGATGCTGATTCGCAGATAGCAACAGCAGGCTTAGCCAGGGTAGGTTAGGTTGGTAGATTGGATGATAGATTCTGGTAGATTGTTTTGGTTCGGCGGTTCGGTTGAGTCGGTTGAGTAAGCAGCATATAGATTCCGGACAGGAGACATCGGCAGAAAATCCTGGCGCAAATCTCTCCCTTGTCTGTCTTTTGCAGACGTTTCCAGCGAGCAATCAATTACTCTTGGAAGGAGTTCTTCTGGGTGCACCAGTTTGAGGATTTCAGTGGCGTGTTGGAAGATGAGCTCAACAGTGAGCTTGCCTGGGCGCAGGAACGCAAAGGTAGCATGGGATTCCAGAAGCGACAGCTTCGTGCCTCAGACAATCAGCAAGATCCGGAGTGGGACGACCTTTGTGAAAAGGTCAACAGCGGTGGACCATTTTGGAAAGCCCTCACCAAATTCGAAGTGGAAAACGCAATCGAATACAGCTGGCGCTACCCCGGGCAGGCGTGGCAATTGAATCAGAGTGCAGTGGAGCATAAGCAATGTTCCAACATGCAGTACCTCCACACCCTCATCAAGAATTGTGGCCTCATCTTTACTGAAGAGGTTAAGCCTCCCCGGTGGCTGTCAGCTACGGAGTCGCTTCTTGGCCTTCATATCATAGAACGGCACTGCACCCAGGTTCCTTTGCAGCAACAATAAGCATTCGACAAACCACAAACACCAAACATGATTCAATGCATTGCATCAACAAAACAGCAACAAAAATCAGAGCACCGCCACCACTAACAGCAACATCCACAGTCTCCACTGTGGTCCGTTTGGCTGCATTTGGTGAACGCTGACCAGTGAAGTAGTTGTGAAGTAGTGAAGCAAGTGTCTCGTGTCATCAGTTGCGGATTGCAACTTTCAAGCCATTGCCTCAATGCCCACACTGCCACACAGGGTTATAAGCTGCCATATTCTTCATAATATGTTCATATTCCTGTTGCTGCATTGTCAGATTGATTGAGGTTATGTTTGCAGGGCTTCCCGCTGCACCCGTGCATGGGATTTCCTGCCGACGTGAAACTTTCTTCGTTCCACGTGCAGTCGGCCCGACACCCTCGCAGAGTCTGTGAACAGGCAGGCAATTCGATGAATTTGGCGGTGCTTCAGGTGGCCCAACTCCATGGGTATCTTTGTCTGGTTCCGCACCGTTTACCTGGAATTTGCAGCTTATTCCGGGAGTTCCGAACTCATGCAGAAGAGGAACGCAGACGCAGAAGGCGGCGGCTGACTGTGAAGACTCCGGGCAAATTTGTGTTGTGGGCCCCGGGGCAGGGCTCTGATGCAGTGTTGCATACAGCTTGATCTTACTTGCATGCTCAGTCGGTGCCGGCAATGCAGAGTTTAATTGCAATGGTTTTTTAGTTTCAAAGGTTTTGTTTCGAAATGGGTCCACTTAGAGCATCATCTTATATGTCTTATTGGTGCAACTACGGCAGAGCTTGGAAGGGCAAGGTTGTAGTGTAGGAATTAGTGATAGTGTGGTTGTGTTACGTTGGATGTTGGATGGCCTCGGTCTTTTCTTGCCGTGCTCTCGTGACTGAGCCGTCTCACCGTCTCACCTGCTTGTCGTGGCTGTCCTCGGAACCTGTTCGTGTCCACACTTCTGCGTGGGTCCTTGCGGCCTTGTGTGACTGCGTGCATCTAATTCACAGTGGCAGTCGACTATGAGAGACATAGTTTGTTTCCTCAGCAGCAGGGCTTCAGGCTTAGGCGTCTGGGCTTAAGGCTTAGGTTGATGTTCTGAGTTATGGGTTCAATTTAAGTGTTGAGTACTGAGGTTCATATGGGTCGGGTCACCCGGGTCAGCTGAATGTCCAGCGCCATTCTTTCTCCATGCAGGCTTGAACCCGGCTTGACGCAGAATCCGTGCGGACACAACAGCCAAGACCAAGAATCGATGCATGTCTCTTATCCATTTGTTCATGCATTGGCATGACGGGCTGCAGCAAGAATCAGGGTTGGCCGGGTTGGCCTGCCGTGGACTAGAATAGTGACATAAGACATAAGTGCAGGGTCCAGTGTCCAGTGCAGGGTGTGCAAGCTGATACAAGTTGTAAGTTGTAAAGTATACTGCAGAAGTCTTCATACTGAATGTGATGGTCATCGGAGTTGGCTTCGGAGTTGTTGTTTGAGAAGTTGAGAAGTTTGAAGTTTTGCGTGCGGGTGTGTTGTTGCTGTTGTGTTTTCCATGTGATGGCCTTGGTGTGTTGGTTGGTAGATTTGGGACTAGTCTAGAAGTCAGCGAATGTGACTTGTCATGAAGAATATTGACGCGTGGGACTGTTTGGCCGTGTTTTGGCCATGGCAGCTGTTTGTCTGTGTGCGTTGGGCGGGGTTGCAGTTACAGTTACCCCCGTATCTCAGGACAGAATAACCTGTGATAAACGATTCTGATATTGTTCACTAGTTGTTCGCTACTGTTGACATGATCTTTGCAGGCTGTCCAAGTATTTCCGCTTCCAACACGATCCCGAAGTGCTCCTTCTCATGCTGTTGCACGTTACAAGACTGTTGATTGGTGGTGTGGTAGCCGTAACCATTCTCGGCATGTATGGCAGCGATGGTCGAGCAATGGTACAATGGTACTAGCACTAGTCACTAGCACTGTTTGGTTTTGCTCATCCAATGATCAAGGCCACTATGGTTACCATTATCCATTTTTATTCATCGAATAGAATCATGTAGCAGACCGTATCTGCGGGTTTATCATCTCACATGTAACGGTTGGCTGATTGGGTGGGGACTGGAGACTCATCAGCTGCAGCTGAGACAAGGCAGCGGCAACAATTCGAACATGGCTGCGCAGTTCCTGCGCTTTTTCGTCACTTTGATATCTGTGGCGATCTTCCCGTTGCCTCTGCTCGCTCTTGTTGGTTATGTCGATGTGACTTATGTGATATGGCAAAGGCCGTTTGCAAAGCATCCTGTAGTATACGTTAGAAGCAGTACATTACATGTAGTAGTACGTAGTATGTTGCCAGTGCCGCCAGTGCTGCCGAGTGGACAGAGTGCGCGGGCATGCAATATCTAGTAGTCTAGTTTGTCTTGATAGGCTTGATAGGATAGGGGAGGGCCGCGGGGAGGGACTGACGATTCCCGACTTATGGACCGTCCAACTTTCCGACGGTGCATTGTGCCTAGGGCCCAGCGCCTCTGCATGGTTGGGTTAATCTGAAGTCTGAAAGGATTGTGTGCGACCTTAGTCTAAACCGTCGAAAGTGTAAACTCTAAAAACGAGGGACCGATGATCCAATGTTCCCAACTCCTATACTACACCAGTGCCTTTTCAGGTAGTCGTGTAGTGTACCAATGTGCCTGTGTGCCCCGCTAAGCTTGCACATATATATATATATATACATACGTAATTTACACATCATAATGAACATCGATCTACATCTAGAATCCAAAATCGAATTCTGAGCCTACAAGGGACCGACCGACAATGTATGAGTTTGGCAGTGCATGTATCTAATGACAGTGTAAACTATTGGTACGAGTCGTTGTTGTCGTTACTGTCGTTACTGCAGCTGAAGACCGGTATTTTGCAACAGTGACGGTGCCGTGAACGGCATGTACAGGTACAGGTGATGCGTCGAGTGTGTGTGTCGTGTGGTTCGAGTAGTTAGGTCAGGTCATGTCAGGTTTCGATTCTCGATGTGTCGGGTTTCGGTGTGTGTACAAAGTGTACAAACACTAAATATATTGATCATACCGAGGTATTCTCATTCTCACGGTGTTCTTCAGGAATCTTTTCTGCTTCCTCCTCAGGTCTGATAGCCAGGACTGTGGCTTGGCTGGCTGCAAGCAGCTGCTTAGATGGCCCATTGCACCCATTTCACATTTCTTCATGATGGGTCACCGCTGGCGAGGGCTGTGACAATACGCTTTCTTTCTGCGTGTAACTTTTCGGATAATCGCTTCACTCCATCATGACCCATATCGAAGCGGTGACGGATGTTTACTCAGTGTCAGTGCCACTGCTCATCCCAGCTTCCGTCAAGTAATGGAACTTTTCTGTGCGAGAGTCACGACAGTCCAGTGCTTGGAGGTGAGGTGCTGTGTGTCGTGTGTGGAAGCGAAGTGGGGTTCGCGACCCGACTCTGCGTTACTCGGTTGTTGCAAGTGATGCTGATGCATGGCATTCTTCAGTGCTGACCGTGGAGACAGTGTTGAGGTAGCGCGGCATAGTATGACAATATGTAATATGACACTACGACAATGCTTGCTTTGTTATGTTGAGTTAAGCTTGGGCCACGCACTGTGCACTGTGCAGACTGTGCACTGCGCGGCCACGAGCTTGGGCCCCTGGCCCCTAAGACTCGTGGTGCCGCCAATTGAGTGCCATGCTGTGCCAGTCATCCTTAATTTTTAATTCAGATTCACCTGAAGCTGGAGCTTGGGAGGTATGCGCAATAAAGGATAGAGAGGCAGCGAGTCCGATCCACCGTTGTGACATTGTGCAGTGTTAGCATCAGACGAGGTGTCCGAAAGATCCCAGAAGAATCCGGTTCATGCATCATCGAATCATCGCATCATGCGTTTCCACATCCCACATCCCGTAGACTTTCGCGGCTCTGCATTGCAGTTGCGGCAGTTCTCTTTGTAGAAGATAGGCATTGGAATTTCTCGAATTTGGAGGTGTCCTCGTCTCCTGTCGTGGTGACTTGAATATGGGTGGAGCTAAGCAAGGCCCAGCAAGTCGCGGCTCGGCAAAAGCCACCCCGGCGGTGAAGAGCACAGCCAAGCGGAGCCAGAATACACGTCCTAGTGAAAGCCACAAGCCAGATGTTGCACCTGGCACTGCTGCAGCTAGCAGCAGCGGCGGCGGCGGCGCCAAAGGTGGTGGTGACGCCTCCGCCTCCGTTGTTGGATTGTTGACTCCTTACCTTCATGCCAAAGGTGATTGGCAACAGGTTTACCCGGAGGTCAAGGCTCAGATCCAGCAGGGCGAGTTCACATGCCTGGAGGAAATTTTTGGTTCCGTTGCAGGGGTCGGTCAAACCATCGAGCTGGTCCTCACTTGGTTTCATGACGACGGTGGTGCCGGTCGCAACATTGATTGGTTTATCGATGCAGATGAGGAAACTAAGCAGGGAACGCAGCCCGCCATCGTACCGAGCAAGCACAACCGTTCTCTGCAGGAGGCAACGTGTGAAGCTTACAAACAACGGCTTCTGGAAGAAGGACAGCCGCAATCCGTTGCGGGCGCCTTGCCCAGAACAGAATATGGATATGCGGATAGGCATTCATATATCATCTCGTTGTACGGATACTGCATAGGGAGTGGAGTGGGGCCGCTCTGGCGACCCGGACGCTTATAGGTCAGGTGCTGGATGCTGCATGTTGTCTAATAACATAGAAGGGTCACTGTCACTTCCTCAGTCTTATGAGTTTTTCATTCAACCTTTCAAACATGAAATGTTATTCAACTTGATTATTCAACTCCGCCTAGGATAAAGGACCTATGCGGATATGCAGGTGCACTAGCTAGGGTCTTGAAACCGTTGACTCGAAGTCCGTGCATATATGTTTATGTACAGTTAGATGCTCTGTATGTGTGTAGTTGAACACTAGAGACTCAGACCGTCACACCGCTATCAACATATTCAAGCTCAACGTGACGGATCAAGCTTGGGCCTTTGTGGGACAGTTCGCGGGTGGGCACTAGCACTGTGCAGTGGATCCGCAAGCCAGTGCAAACCAGTGGCACAGTGTACAGTGTACAGTGTCACGCCTCTCATGCAAATCAAACCAAATACTGACATGGCCGTAGGCCTCGTACGTACGGTGTGACAGTCTGACAGCAACTAACGACGAAGGGCGGCAAGGCCCGGCATGGGAAAACCAGGACAAGCAGACACGGGCAACAGTAGCATCGAGTCATCGAGATATGTTTTATGACAAGTCGTGTGACTCATACATATTCATATTTCATATTTACGACTACCACTGTACCACAGACTATCGCAGTGTGTCCACGAGTCCACGAGGTGAAGCTTGGTGCCATTGGGGCGGCGAGGCGGACGAGTTCCCGGTGTACGCATTGAGCTACAATCATCGGGCAAGCGCCTTTTTTCGTGCGAACACAGAGCAACCAGAAAACCCTAATGTTTCCGCAGTTCGTACGCGAGGATTGCAGCGAGTTCGCATTCTTGCAAGTTGGACTCCACCGGTGATTTTCAAGTTCATGGCAGCAGTGCACAACCGCTACCACCAGGGATCATCAGCAAGCATCGTAGAACTAACGCAGGCGTCGCTTTCCTTGGAGGCATCCTGGCGTCAAAGTTGCGAAAGGACCGGCATGACTTACAACAATCCGAAGTATGCAAAGACCTACGAGGCAAGCTAGTGTTTCAGGTTGCAGTGGTAGCAGGTTGCCCCGCTGTCTTTTGTGACTAACCGTTGTGCATTGCAGCTGATCGCCGATCGCCAGGTTGCTTGACTCAGCTTGACTTAGTACGCGTCTGGTCATCCCGTCATCTCGTCTCTTTCTCTGGCACTCTCCACCTTGCGATGTCTTCGGTTCTCAAGAGCAGGACTGAGCAGCAATCACTCCTTGCAGCATCAAGCATCAACATCAACATCAACACCGTGTCTGTCACCGTGTCCGTGTCATCACCATCGCAAGCACCGCCTCGCGTCACCCTCGAATGGCGACACCAACACCGCCACACCGCCACCGCCACACCGCCTTACCGCCGCCACTCTGCCTCTCCACCACTCCACCACCACTCTCCACTCTCCACCGCTCTCCACCGCTCTCCATCGCTCCACTGCACCACCGCTACCGCCGCTTTCTGTGACACTCACTGCTGCTACTGCAACTGCCTTCGACCTACGACCTACGACCTACGAGCCCTATTCTGATTACCCTACTGCTGCTGCTGCTGCTGCTGCTGCTACTGCTACTGCTACTGCTACTGCTACTGCTACTGCTACTACTACTGCTACTACTACTACTACGACTACGAGTTAGCATTACTACTACTACTACTACTACTACTACTACTACTACAATGGGTGACAAAACTACTACTACTACTACTACTATTACTACTACTACTACTACTACTACTACTACTACTATTACGACGATTACTACTACTACTACTACTACTACTACTACTACTACTATTATTTCTTTTCTACTCCTGCTGCTAGTGCTGCTACTACCGATACTATGACTGCTACTACTACTACTACTACTACTACTACGACTACGACTACGACTACGACTACGACTACGACTACGACTACGACTACTACTACTACTGCCAGCTGCTATATTGCTGCTGCCACTGCTATGGTCGGTGTCGAACGACATTCCTGTGACGGGCACTGTGATGGGTGATGGGATACAGGGTTCATTGGCTCATGTTGTCAGGTGGTCTCCACTCTCCACCCCGGTTCCACCCCTAAGTGAAAATAAGCCTTTGACCCTATTTGACCCTAGATAGCCTAGATAGCTGAGATAGCTTAGGTAGCATAGATGCCAGGCGCACGTACTCGCCGACAAAACCTTTCATACGTGGGACTCTTTCTCGCACGCTCTCTCATTGTCCCACCGATTGCAAGCCTTGGGCGCTTTCGACGACTTCTGCTCCTACCTGAACAGGCAGATGAACTTTCTGCATGACTCGTTGGACCATTGGTCGGCCCTGAAAGTTTTGCATGTTGCCACGACAACCATCCACAACACCTTAAAGGCACATCACCCCAAAGAAGACGTTCAAGCTTTTCTGTTGGAATTCCTGAAGTTCTGTGTTGCTTGCCGTTGTGTCAGCAAACTTTTGGATCGAGGGAGGTTATTTGCTCAAGCCAAGATACCTTGCAGTGCAGTGTGCTGTGCAGTGCACGGGCAGTGGCCACATGTTTTAAGATCAAGTTTACTGCAGTCCTTTGATTACGTTTCCACTTTCCACGTCTCTAGTCCTCGCAGGTCAGCTTAGCGTGACAGACTTCAACGTGTAGGGCCTGTAGGCCTGTAGGGTTAAGCGGTTAAGCCGCAGCCACAAGCCACAAGCCCCAGCAAAAGCTTAGATGCTAGACCTCGCCCTAGGCCCTAAGCGCCGCGTAGACCCCTAAAACCGATTAAAACCGAACTAAACCTAGACTGTCCTAAACTTTGTCCTGAACCGACACCCTAAACTCGCCCCGCTAAACCCTGAAGGTAACCTGCCTTAGCATCCTGAACGGAAAACTCCGCAAAACCAAATTGAGTTTCCATGTATCGGCTGTTCTTGGCCGTTCTTGGGCCGTTGGCTGCTGATTGCTAAGGTTCCCGTGCGGTCCGACCCATCGCAGCGGCGCGTGGACTGGCTTCTGAACAAGTCCGGCAAGTCAGAGATTATGAAGATCAACCTCGTGGCGCTGCCCATGACGGGCTGCAAGGCCTTCGACAAGTTGGCAGCCTCTTGGCTATTGGTTCTATAAAGTGTTGTGACTGCTGTGACGTTACAATAGAATAGAAATTTCGCAGTTTCGCATCATCACCCTGTTCTCGATGATAGCCTTGTGCCTTTTGCGGTATTTGTAGTAGTAGTGGTGTCTAGTGCAGCTGGCTGTTGGGCCTGTTGGGCTGGGGGGATGCAGATGCATACGCTAATACACCTCGTAGCCAGCTTGCACCATCGCTGCCATTGCTGGCCAGTTACGACAACGAAGTTTAGTTCGTTCTATTTTGATTGAGATTGTTGATCAATCTCAATTTCCGACTGGGTTACGGATACGGTCCCGTTACGGTTACGAGTTACGGTTTGATGGTTGGTGACGTGACGGTCGGTCGACGGTCGGTGGCATGGAAACAGATAGGGTGTTGTTACTGTTGTTTGTCCTGCGAGTTCAATGTTCAATGTTGCCATTCGAGTCTGAGGACTATATTCAGGCTCTATAGTCTCTAGTCTATTCTAGATAGCGGGGGGATGGGATGCCTGGAAATGTTAGCTGAGTTAGCTGGCAGTTTGTACGGAATGGTTTGTTGGCGCCGAACCCGCCCCTCTTTGAGGACACCTTGAAGGAGAAGGATGCGCTGCAGAGCATCATTGCCAAGTCGACGATGCAGGCTCAAAGCGTGTTTTCTGCTTGCGAAGCCAGCCAGACTACTGCCGGCGCCAGCGCCGGCTCCC